AAATCAACTTCACTAATACAATATATTTGTGAATTAATCTCCCTAAAATACAAAGTGACCTTTTCTAGATTTTCTCAAGCTGCCTTCTAGGGCACCATTTGGTAACTTTTAACTTACTTTTCCTTTATCAAAATCAGAATCTTTCTCACTATGGAGTCTCAAAAAAAGACTCTTTTTGCTGCTTGCCTATTTTTAACAAGGTCCAAAGCTATAATTATTTTAGAATCAACCGGGATCCTCATTTTATGAATCATAATTTATGTTTCTTTCTTTCAATTATGTTTTACAAACAATCAGAAACTGCCAAATCCTAAATAACTTTTTTGCCTCAGCCAAAGGGAAGCCATTTGCACTCCTGCATCCATCTTTGGTATGGACTGTCATCCAGTAGGGGGTCCACTGAAGATGGAGAAGGCTGAGCCCTTACTTCCATGGGTGAATTCTGTTCATGAAAGGTTCTCTCTCTGTGTGTATTTAAATTAGGATGATCAAGGACTCAAGTTTTACTCAAGTCTAGTTCAGGCAAATCTTCCAATGAACCAATAGCATGAGACCTTATGTCTTGACCTACTATTTCTTTCAATTTTGTTGCATTAATTCCTAACAATGTCATTCCATTTAATGCCCATTTCAATTTGTCTCCATTCTGAAAAAAATGGTAGTATACTACTCTTTACATACTGACATTACCTCCAAACATTTTTCTTGTGGGCTCTATATTTACAGTAGATATCTGTACAAACTCTGTAACAATTTTCAGAGAGTCAAGAAATGCTGTTTGAAATGCTGGTATAAATAGCATGTTATGCATAATTCAGTTGCAAATTAATTTAATTGTAATGGTTACATAATAGCAAAGGTTGGACTTGATTGTGTAAAGAAATGCATTTGGTTTCCTCAGATCTTCCACAGATTATTTGCAATACTCTAATGTTCCTGCATTTCAAAATAGCCCAACAGACTTTCCTGGAGAGTCATATCTATTTCTGTGAATCTCCATCAGAATATTGTGTGATTTAGTAAGACCACTCCCAATGTAATCTACTTTTTCTCATTATAAAGAGCTAGATTACCTAAAGCAGTTAATTAAATACCCTCAGGTTACTCTATCACTTTCTTTGCAATCTTCTATGTTATCCCTGTGCTTATATCATTTTAAATCAAAGTG